CTCTCTATATTTGTACTCTCATATTTATAGTGGATTGCTCATCTCCTTTGTGGACGTAGGTCGATTGACCGAACCGCATTAAATTTGTCTCTTTTGGTGTGTTTCTCGTTTGTCTTCTTACTCATGGTCTTTCGAGGTTTGCTTTGCTAGTTTTCGCATTACACCTGCTTATTTAGGTCATAACATGATTAACTAGTTAGTTGCATTAGGAAAGCAACTAGTGTGGTGCTAAGAGTTTTGAAAAATAACTTTAATAGTCATTAAAAGGATTAGTGGTGAATGGAGAAGTTTAAGACAAGTGGAAAAAAAAGACGTGGAGGAAAAGTAGATTAATACATAAAGGAACAAGACAATGAAAAAAAAGAAGCAAAGTTAGCAAGTATGACAAGAAAAACAACAATTTTTCGAACATTTTTATGTCAAATTAAGGGACAAAGGTGAAGATAAGAAGTTGTACAAATTTGATAGAGCAAGAAAGAGGAAGGCTCGGGAATAGGTTAAGTGAAGTGTATTAAAGATGAGACAAAAAAAGTACTAGCGAAAGAGGCACTTACAAGATGGAGATGACGAGCATACTTTTATTAACTCTTAAACAAAGAATTTTTGTGTCAATAGTTTTCACCATCACTCTATCAACAATCATCATCCACCATCACTAATCATCTTTGACATCACAATCATTACCATCGTCAACCACCTGTCGGCACCATCAACCACTTTTGTTATCGATCACTTACAACTACCATTATTATCAATAAGCACTATTTAGTCATTACCACTATTGACTATTATCATCATTGCAGTCAATAGCTACTCAACCATCACAACTCACGCTAACATCAACTATCATCAACACATCATCATTAAAACTGCCAATTATTCATATCTTCAATTTCACCGTTTCAATCATCACTATCAATCATTATCATCATATCAGTCACTGCTACAACAATCATCTCTATTGTTACAACTGTCACCACACTAATATGAATTATTATAATCCACTACTATAAATTATTTTTACCATCATTAGCTATAAATATTACACATATTTTTTTATTTAATAACAATTTTATTTATTTGTTAATATTTTTTTTAAGAAGAAAGAAATTGGATTGATTTTATTGGGAATCCGCGAAGAAGTTTGGAAAGTAGCTTCTGCGCTCACCGCTTACGTTACGAACTGCTGCTCTTTTTATTTGTTTCCCTGCTGTTGGTATTGGACTGGGGAATTTTTTTTAAAGATAAGTAGTTGTCACTGTTTTTTCATGAATTAAAATAAAATAAAATAAACTAAACGAAGGGAAGAATTATTAACTCGTAAAAGTATTTATAAAAAATATCAAACAAAAATCCAAGGTTATAAAGTATGCTAAAAAAATATCAAACAAAAATCCAAGAATATTAAAGTATATTATCTACGCCGAGGAAAGCAAATGGTCACCCACGGTTTTTTACGTCTTCCAACTTTTGTTTTTTCAAGTGGTTCATTTGCCATGCAATAACAACAATAATAATATATCTAAGTTAGAGCCGTTTGAATTGACTTAAAAAAATAGCTTTAAGTCAAAAATAAAAAGTCAAATTAAAATATTTTTTAAATCAAAAAATAAAAAGTAGGGGGAGACGTAGTTTTGGTTTTTGACTTATTTTAAGTCATTTTAAACTTATTTTAAGTCATTCTTGACCTTGCCAAACACTTCTCAACTTATTTTAAGTCATTTTTGACTTATTTAAAATTATTTTTTATATTTGTCAAACACTTTCAGAAGTCAAAAACTGACTTAAAAATAGGTGTGACCAACTTTTAAGTCAATTCAAACTCCCTCTTAGTTTCATAAATCTATGAATATAGAGTGTGTATATATATATATAATTTAGTTTCATAAATCTATATATATGCTTAGTAAAAATAGAAAGAATGTTTTTAATAAATTTTCATTCAAAATAAAGCATTTCAAGCAATTTACATCCTTACATGAATCATCCAACACATTTCAAAATCCTTCACTTTATATATTTGAATACGAAATCATTTTTATTACTCCTTTCGTCCTATTTTATATGAGGTAGTTTGACTCAACACTGAGTTTAAAAAAGAAAAAAAGACTTTTAAAACTTGTGGTTCAAAATGAATAATAGAAATTTGTGTGACTGTAAATTATTTCATTAAGGGTAAAATTGATATTTTATAGTTAAATTCTTACTTAATATAGAAATGTGTTATTTTTTTTGGGACTGACTAAAAAAAAATAAGTCACATAAATTGAAACAGAGAAAATTACGTGAAATATTCCATGTGATTCTAAATTTAATCAAAAACTTCACGCAATCTAAAGTAGTGATGTGAGGAGGCCCCATTATTTCTCTAATGGTATTAAATAATTAATGGGTCAAACACATATACAACCCCTCAAATTTGTCCTCATTTTTCATTTTGGTACTCCAACTTAACTTTGTTCCATTTTAACCCTTAAACTCCATTTTTTCTGTACCATTTAAACACTTATACTAATTTTTATGATTTGTTTTTGTTTATGTTCTTCAATTGCAATTTCTTATTTTTTAAAAATAGACGTGTAACTGTTAATTTAAAATATTAAACATTCGCGAACGAACATAAAAATTTTCAAACAATAATATTATTTTTTGATATTTCTCTGTATTTTTGCGTGAAAATAAATTGACGAAAGTTCTTTGATTTTCTTTCTTAAACATTCAATTAAATTAAATAACACTACTTATTTATTTTTTCTTATCATCTAGGCTATCTAAATTTAACGCATATACTCACTTTTAATTTTTAATATAAATCAATACGAATAAAAAAACCCATCTTCAAAAAGACTCGACTGACTTTGTTAATAACACTACTAAAAAAAGACTCTTGTTCATTGCTAATAACACTACTAAACAATGTTAAAACTCGACTGACTTTGTTAGGTTGTCGGTGATTTTAAAGAAATAAAACCAACATAATTTCGTCGGTTTTTTTTCACACAAAAATACATAACACTCTTAAAAAGAAAATATTATTTTTTTAAGAAGAATTATTTTTTGTTAATTTTTAATTTTTTAACTAAAATTAAATGACACGTGTCAATTTAAAATAAGAAGTTGAAGAATATATATAGAAATAAATAAATCATAAAAATAGTATTTCGTGTTAAAATAGAACATAAAAAATGGAGTTCAAGAATTAAAATGAAACAAGACTAAGATAAAGTGGCGAAATGAAAAATGTGGATAAGTTAGAGGAGTGGTATATGTGTTTGGCCTAATTAATGCATCAGTCACTTTCAAGATTCAACACCACCCCTTTCCTCTCGCCGCCTCAATTGGTGAGCCCCATTTTCCTTTTCACAGACTACTTCCTTTTAGATTTTATTTTTTCTGAAACCAATTAATTTAAATTATTCATTTTCTCTATTCGTTTATTGAAAGCAAATGAACAATAACGCCACAATCCTAAATATATATTTTTTATTTTACGTGATGATCTACGATTCGTAGCTCAAGTTCAGATTCTCTGACGTTTTATTTTTTTAGGCTTAATGCATCAATTATTTTAAAATTTATTTATACTTTTTTTTAAAAATATTTAAACTTTCAATAATTTAAAAGTTTATTTTAGAACCAGTTCTCAAATGTTTTTTATGTATATAAAGTAACCAATCAAAATATGTCATCTTCATTAATTATTCACACTTTCCTCAATTATTTAAATTGATTGGGTGACTTTTTAAGTGATCAACTTAAAATTAAGTGAACAATTCAAAGTTAGGTGATCATCTGAGATATTAACTCCATATCTATGTTATGATATTTGAGAGTATGTGTAGAAAAAAATTTCAAAATTTGATTTAAAATATTTAATAAGAATATTTTATAATCTATTTAGATGCTTCATTGAAACAAGTCACATTCTTCAAGTGTTAAAATTGCATTTGCTAACAAGTTTTTCTGGTTGATGATGTATTACGCTTTTATTATATTTGTTTCAAGTTTTTTAAGTTTTTTTAATCGTTTTCACAAGGACTGCATATTGATTGATTCGATTTTAAAATTTATCGATTTGACTTATTGATTATTGATTTGTAGACATGCTAAACTGTTATAAAGCATTAAGATATTGACTTATTAATTGTTATCGATTTAACCGTTAAAATTTGACACACATACACACACAAAAAAAAAAAAATTGAAGCATGTAGATGCGTTGACAGATCGTGTCTTGCTTAAAAAGAAACATTGACACATTGTAAAATAACCAAAAATTTGATACAACATCACAAACTTTATATATCGAATAATACAAATATAATTGATCAATTTACTATTAAATTATCGATTAAACCATCAAAATTAATAACCCGATAATAATTTTTTAAAAAGAACTGTAATTTTAATTGATAAATTAATAAAAAAATAACTCATTATTAATAAATAAATAAATTTGAATAGAATTATGGATTTGAACGATTCATTAACATATTCATAATGTATATTCGTTCACCCACAATGAATCTTAGCTAATTACAAAAAAGTAACGGGACCTAATGACGTAAAATAAATTCCTACTGGCCCTACATATAAAAAATGTTTATCACAAACAAACAAACCAGGATAAAGTGGACTGATAATGAAATATGTATTTGATTTTTTGGTGCATTTTTCTTTTCCAAAGATTTTGTTTGGTGTATAAATAATTCAGATTTTATACGAATTAAATATATTTTTTACTAATAAGAGTAGTAGTTACTCCCTCTGTCCCAATTTATGTGTCATTTTTTGTTTTTTTGAGAGTGAAACAATTTAAATTTGATCGAAAATTTGCGCATGAAATCTTCAATTTTTTTGAAATGAAATTTATATATTTGTAAATTACGTAAAAAGTATTATAAGTCACAATAATTGATAATTGAAAATGTTTAAAAAATCTATGAAAAATTTATGATAAAAAGTGTTACATAAAATAGGACGGAGGAGTATTATATTATATTCCTATAAAAACGTAGAGATCCTTAGAAACAAAATCCCAATTCTCCTCCACCGCCTTTTCTTCCCTATCTTCTCATTTCTCCTTTTCTCTCTTCTTTTTGCTACACAGAGAATTCAGTTATGGCCGGAAGCGGTGTCGTTACAGTTTACGGAAATGGTGCTCTCACAGAGACCACCAAGCAATCCCCCTTTTCAGTGAAAGTGGGTCTCGCTCAGATGCTTCGCGGCGGCGTTATCATGGACGTTGTTAATGCTGAACAGGCTCGTATAGCCGAGGAGGCCGGCGCGTGTGCTGTCATGGCTCTTGAGCGTGTCCCTGCTGATATACGCGCTCAGGGCGGCGTTGCACGTATGTCGGATCCCCAGCTTATCAAAGAAATCAAACAGGCTGTGACTATTCCTGTTATGGCCAAGGCTCGTATTGGTCATTTCGTGGAGGCTCAAATCCTTGAGGCTATCGGAGTAGATTACGTTGATGAATCGGAGGTGCTTACCCTTGCTGACGATGAGAACCACATCAACAAGCACAATTTCCGTATCCCTTTTGTCTGTGGCTGCCGTAATTTGGGTGAGGCCCTTCGCCGTATCCGTGAGGGTGCTGCCATGATTCGGACCAAGGGGGAAGCCGGTACCGGAAACATCATCGAGGCTGTTCGTCACGTGCGTTCCGTTATGGGTGATATCAGGGTGCTGCGAAACATGGACGATGATGAGGTTTTCACTTTCGCTAAGAAGATTCAGGCACCATACGATCTGGTGATGCAAACAAAGCAACTGGGTAGGCTCCCTGTGGTTCACTTTGCAGCAGGTGGGGTGGCGACACCAGCAGACGCAGCGCTTATGATGCAGTTGGGATGTGACGGCGTGTTCGTGGGTTCCGGTATCTTCAAGAGTGGTGACCCTGCAAAGAGGGGACGCGCAATCGTGCAAGCAGTGACTCATTACAGTGACCCACAATTGCTGGCTGAAATTAGCTGTGGGCTTGGTGAGGCTATGGTTGGAATTAATCTTGATGAAAAGGTGGAGAGGTATGCCAATCGTTCCGAGTGATGATGGTTGTAAGTTTTAGAAAGTCTTTATCTTGTGCTTGGATGAGAGTATGTTATACTCTCTGGGATATGTTTGTTCGTATATTTTAGTTTTGATTTTCTGGCCAGCTGTTATGAACTATTGGAATGGGATAATTAGATTGATTCAGTTATATGCATTTGGATATTCAGCACTAGAAAAGTTTCTACTGTTTAGCTTGTTTATGCATGAATTTTCTGAGGATGCATATGTTAATAATATAAGTTTGATTTTCCCCCATCACCCCAAGATTTTGCTCTATCACACTGGCCTCCCTCGTGGTTTACAGTATTACAATGAATTTATTATCGGGTCAAATGGATTGGTAAGGAGATGAAAGTTCATATAGTGTAACTTTCAACTAATTTGATAGTTGGAATACACCTGATTTTAGTTTTTTGAGGTAGTGTCTGTACCAATATGATGGGACTTGCCTTTCATTATTTACTACTGGCAGAAGCAGATTCACTGTGCTGATTCCAAATGCACCCTGGGTCTATTCCTGGTGTGTTAAAGTTATCTGTGAATTTTATAGGGACCCTTGTTCTGTTCATCTTGGTATTGTTTCATCGTTCACTTATTAAAGCTTCTTGCAATTGATTCTCCAGAGGAGGAAATTGTTTGCTATTGGTAGTCTAGGTTGTGAACTCGTGACGACTCCAATTATCATAGCCGTGATAAAGCTTGTTTCTTTCTTTGGAAATTCCATTAGAAGTTGGTTTATGCCGCGTTTATATTTTGATTCAGTGAGTCGGGGCAGTTTTATATATAACTAGCTTTAGATGATCTATTTGTGTGAAAGAAATTGCTTATGTACCTAGGGATACGAGTATATTTGTACGAGTGTATTTGTTTATGCCAATTTCTGGCAGTGGGTTCGGCCTTGTTAACCAGATCTACAATCAATTTCTGCACCAAAAAAGTTTCTTTGCTGTGAAAATGTCCGCACAGTTTGTGAATTTGGTGTATCCTGATTATGCTGTATCCATGGCTAGGTTGTTGACCGGCCTTAAGCTACATCATAATACTCAATTTGTTACAAAATGACTTTGCAGCATAGCTAACTATGCTCAAGGAGAGCTATTTAGCCTTAAAATTGTGGATTTTCTTGAATAAATATGCTATATGTTCACCCTCGACTTTTGGACATGCACGGATAGTTCTTTTCTCTCGTACTTCTTGCTGACTCCTTGATTACTATTCTGGTTCTCTTAATTGAAGAACTATATTTTGCAAGGGACATGAAAAGTGGACTGGTCCTGTCCTTCCATGGACATACTAGGGGCACTATAAACCATATGTGTCCTGTCCTTCATATGTTGTCCCTTTGAGACATCCAAATAAAATTGTACTAGCAAAAGGAAAAGACTAGCACGGCAATGCAAGTAGGCTTAATTAGTTTTCAACTTAACCAGTGTTGGGCTTTATATTCCGAAACTATCCAAGGAAGAGGTTAGTTCAGTACTCTGAAAGCCGAAGACAAAGCCTTCATATTTGACCTGATTCCAAACACTGAAGAGTGTGTTGAATAGGCTCATAGGCCTCGAGTTTCAAAGGATGCAAACAGAAAGGTAAGAACTAGTACAAAACCCAACGTGAAAGACTGTCTAGAAGGAGTCAAGATTGAAACAATAGGATTTCCAGGTTGGTTATCTATAGTTCTCATGAAACAAAGACTAGTGCTAGTTCGATATATTTAACTTTTTCTAGAGCCAATGTCGATGCATCAAGGTATATGTTGTGGTATGAATAAGCCGAGAGTCCAAGCACTACCTGGATTAAACGATTAATAATATCATAGGTCATCGAACGGAACAAAGAATCAATGTTTGTGTTCCTCCTTAAGAATTTTGTAATCTAATCTGATTGAAATAAATATTTCAGACCTTCACTTCTACGTGAATTTAATGTAACACACATCTTTGGCCTTTGTTTTTTGTGAAGACTACTGAATGCCTTAATAAGTTATTCAACATGTACAACAGATGCTGGAAGGGGCAACCACCATGTTCATCGTTGACATGTCACTTGAGAGTTAATTCGAAATGTCACTTGCATCACGATTCACGATCTTGGAAAGAAAGAAAAAAGTATTGCTAGCATTTACGAACAGAATCAGGTTATCAAGAATTGTTCATGTGATTGCAGTAGTAAACTAACTTATTTAACTTGGAAACTTAGGTTTACAATCTATATTCATCCAACTCCATAAGTTACAGTCCAGTACAGGACGTTAATCACATGTTATAAGGTGACTACAACCTATTGGAATGCTTGGTGAAATGTCTTCAGGGTAAGATTTTCCATGGGAGTTCAATCGAATTCCCTTCATCTAATGATTACAACAACCACAACAAAAACACACCTAGTGGGGATGATAGGGGGTACGCAAATTTTATTCCTGTCTTGTGTGAAGTTGAAAGGATGCTTCTATTGACCCTTGACAAATGATTATATCGTGGAAATAGTGTAAAAACAAAGTATATAGCTTTTTTTTTTCAATTTTATTGTACATAAATTACAATCTTAATGCAGCGGTAAAGGTAGCTTAAAAATTGTTTTAGGTCATAAGTTTTTTTTAATTAGTATTATTTTTATTTTTTTTTGTTTTAGGTCATAAGTTTGAATTCTAATGAACTTTTTTTTTTTTTTTAAATTATTGTTAAAATCTCTGGTTTCGCCACTTGGGATTTTCTTTACCTATCCCAATCAAGAAAAGTAACTTGATCTTCCTGTTCAATTTACTAAAGTTCCTGAAAGTTACAAGCATCACTTTTCGTGTAGGCATAATATATTCTTTCTGAAACAGAGACATTATATTCCTAAGCAATTCTCAGAATATGGAAACCAAACGTTTTCTAATATTCCTACATATAAATTGAACATTAAACAAAGTTTGATACGATAAAAAATTGGAATTGCTGTTGCACTAGTTGAGAAAAATAATAATGTCTAATGGTAAGCAACATTTCAAGGTTTGCTTTTGCTGGTCAAGAGTATTCAAAGTGAGGGGAGGTGAAATTCCAGAAGATATTAAAAAAGTATTTGAATCATACTCAATGAATGAAATTATGAGTAGGGATAATTTGATTAGTTTTCTGGAGAAAGAACAGAATGAGGTGATCAATGTTACAAAAAAAGCCCAAAATATATTCAATAGCAAACATCTCAATGTTGTTCATAGAAAGGGATTGACTCTTGAAGCTTTCTTTAAATTTCTTCTTGGTGATAAAAATTTTGTTCATCAGTCTAAGGTATTAAAATTAAATATTTCAAATTTTTTATGTAAATAAAAATATTCATTATATTTGAACTTTTGCTACATCTTAAATCAGTCTATTGATTACTGCATTTTATTTCTTCTATAATTTTTTCTCCTATTTCATAATGGAAAACTCTCTGTTTCTGCTGGATGACACTGGGATTGAACCGAACCTTGTTAACTCGCCATACAGTTTCTTCTTTTGTCCAATCAAAAATGATTTAATCATTTCGGAATCAGCAATTTAATATAGATGGATATATGCCCAATCTATATATCTCGCTTCCTGTTATTTTGTCATTCAATTTGAAATACTTGAATGATCGATTCTTATTTTTTGTCTTCACTTTTGGCTGAAAGCAGAGGAATGCTTCATTAGTTATAACTAACTATCCATTTGATTTGAATCTCTTTAACTCCATTTATTTATTGGATTCTTCAGGTCCATCAAAATATGGATGCTCCCTTATCCCATTATTATATATACACAGGCCATAACTCGTATTTAACTGGAAATCAGCTCAGTAGTGATTGCAGTATTGAACCAATTAAGAAGGCCTTAAAGAAAGGAGTTAGAGTGATTGAATTGGACCTTTGGCCTAATATCACAAAAGATGATATCGATGTTTGTCATGGAGGGTAACTATTTAATCAAAAAAAATCACGGAATATCTGTTATCTCCCACCAACACATATATTGAGTAACTTTATTCTTGAATTTAAAAACTGCAGGACACTAACAACACCTGTTAAACTAGGCAAATGTTTGAAAGCCATAAAGGAAGATGCCTTCTCATTTTCTGAATATCCTGTTATACTCACTTTTGAAGACCACCTACATCCTTACCCATACCTTCAAGAAAAAGTAGCTCAGGTAAAATTAACTTAATTCTATAAATATATTTCACTTGCAAAATTTCATTTCTTGGTTCAATGTTATAAATGCCTACAATCTACCTAAGTTACTACATCAGGTTCGTATATATTACTCCCTCTGTCCCAATTTAATTATGTGAGTTCAAATTTCAGGATTCAAACTTCTAAGCTTTGACCAAGAGTTCGAACATAGAATCTTTTGAAACTACTTTACCACTTTAACATATTTAAAAAGACATATAAAAAAATTCTGGTCTTAGAGAAACTTGGTTAACTATCGAAATTCTAATTGTATCACATAAATTGGGACGGAGGGAGTAGTTTATCCTAAGATTTTTGCTCACTTCTTAAGAATACAGATGGTGAAGAGCACATTTGGGTCGATGTTGTTCATCCCAAAATCAGATATGGACGTGTTCCCTTCACCAAACAAGTTAATGAAAAGAATCTTAATTTCGACGAAACCACCACCAAAAAATAACCCTGAAGAATCAGACAATTCTAAGATTTCACCAACTCAGAGAGGACGTTCAGAGAATGGACTTAACAATCATATTCAGGTTTAATATCTTCCTATATTATTTTCTTGCTCTTGTTTTGCAAGGTTAGTTTTTTCCGAGTTTAACTTCTATACATCACCAGTATAAATAAGTTATGTTGTCAAGTTCTTCAAAATATTATTACAGTTACAGGCGAATTCAGAATTTTAAAGTTTAACATGTTCAAATTTTAGGTTCTTAACTACTGTACACTTGCCGTTATAAAATTATAAATATTATTTACATTGCCAGTATATACACGTCAGTGAAATCTCTTTATGATACTTATATTCTACAAAGTACCAGCAGCAAATACAATTAGAGGAGGGAGATGAAGACGAAGTTCCCAAATATAGAGATTTGATTGCAATCCATGCCACGAAGCACAAAGGTGGTATGGAAAATTTTGGAAGCCATGGAAGTTCTAATAAAGTTGGACGTTGTAGCATGAATGAACTAGCCCTTGAAGACGCTGTAGCTGAACATAGCCATCAACTTATCCGGTAAATATAAATGCTTCAGCTCCATTGATTCTTTCTTTACTACTACTTGTTTCATCAAATTATATTATGCCTCCCTCAACGCGTTCAGAGCACATATGAGGGATCATTGCGTTGAGGCATAATACATGAATAATATGTTGATATATACTTCAGATTTACACAACGAAATATTCTAAGGGTGTACCCAAAGGGTGCACGCGTTGATTCATCAAACTATGATCCTCTAATTGCATGGCTGCGTGGAGCACAGATGGTTGCATTTAACATGCAGGTCAAGTACTATCACTTGCCATATCAATTTCCTTCAAATTAAAAATAAAGAAATTTTGAATTGGTAGGGTCAAGATTATATTGTTAAAAGAACCTTAATAAAATATGACTTATATTCTAACAGGGATACGGTAGGTTTCTATGGATGATGCAAGGATTTTTTCGAGCCAACGGAGGCTGTGGCTATGTGAAAAAACCAGATTTCTTACTAAGTAATGATGGAGTATGTGACGAAGTTTTCAATTCAATGGCCTTGCCAATAAAAAAAACTCTCAAGGTTCATAAACTTCAATATATAGTTTTACTTAGCTTGTCAAACTCCACTTGTGGGGTTATACTGTGTTCATGTTGTTGTACTACTTATTCACACAAATACCACTTTTTTGGCGCTTCTGCTGAAGAATAACATATACTATAATTAATTTCATGTGTAATATCCATGTTGATTATAAACAGGTAAAAATATACATGGGAGAAGGTTGGCGTGCAGATTTCCACTTTAGACACTTTGATTATTGCTCCCCTCCAGACTTCTATGTCAGGGTAAGCTATTTCAATTGCGATATTTTTCCTGATTACACTAGCAGTATGTAGAATTTTTTCACCCACGCGTAGTGATAATGTAGCATGTATGTTGTATATCAAATAGATTGATTTTTCTGAGTAGTTTTTATAGTTAGTAACTCGGTATATATAAGTTAAAACTCTTTGCATAAATCAATAGCACAACATTTCTAGTTGCATTGACAATTTGTCCAAAAGAACATTTGTCTTCATGGTAACAAAAGTTGCATTGACAAATTGAGATAATTTTTATGTAGGTTGGAATGGTAGGAGTACCTGCGGATACTAATAAAATGCGCAAAACAAAGACAGTGAACGATCAATGGATACCAATATGGAATGAGAACGAAGAATTTGAATTTCCAATTCGTGTACCAGAACTAGCATTGCTTCGGATTGATGTTAAAGATTATGATCCATCTGGTGAAGATGAATTTGCAGGACAAACATGTTTGCCTGTTTCTGAGCTGAGGACTGGGATTCGATGTGTTCCATTGTATAATCGCAGAGGAGATGTCTACAGATCAGTAAAACTTCTCATGCGTTTCGACTTCAGTACTCCGTTAATTAATTAATCCCAATCTGTTTAAGTTGAAAGTTAGTGTAAATAGTTAAGGAAACGCAAAGACTATAGATGGAATTGTGGCTCATAGATAATATTGTTGGCCCTATACTCTAATTTTAGATTTTAAAAACGTCAATCAACCACTTGTAACATATGGACCAAAAGGTACTGAATGCAGAGTGAGTGAACATTCTCAATTGACAACAAGTTGTGTCTTATAGAGAAATGTTGTATACGTTGCTCAATTGTTCACAAGTTAAATATGACTAATAGACGTACATTATACCATTGAAATGTCCCGATCTTTTGTTTCATAGACAAAACTAACTTATGTGCATACTATGACTAGAACTTATACTCGATGGACAGTGAAAAAAAGTTTATTAAACGGGGTCAAAAATATTTTTGCAATTTTTTCATCTAAGATTCACAATTTAGTGTTTGGCCATAGAATTTCTTACTTTTTTTCGGTGTTGAACTCCGAAATACTTTGTTTTGCCATAAATTTCAAAATTCAACTTCAAATTGAATTTCGGAATTTTCAGAAATTTGAAAAACACCAAAAAGTGGTTTTCACTTTTTTCACTCCTCAAAATAAAATTTGAAACTAGAATTGTGTGAATGTGTATGATCACGAATACAAATTGGAGTTTTTTATTTTTCACTTTGAAAATTAAAACAACTTTTTTCAATTTTCACAATAAAATATGGCCAAATGGTTAAATTAGAAAAAACCCAATTGAATTAAGTGCTCCCACTCCTTTGGATTTAAACATGAAAAGCCCAGTAATACTAATCCAAGGCACTGTATTGATTGGGTTCAACTTCTTTCTCCTATACACACAAATTGTATAGAGGACCTTTCACATATAGCCACTCAAAAATAGCCTAATTACCCTTCATAGCTATAGTTTGATAATTACAATTCATAGCTACATGTTATAGGGAGGAGAGATGCGAGCGAGACTGGGAGAGGGAGGAGAGAGGCGAGCGAGACTGGGAGAGAGAGGAGAGAGGCGAGCGAGAGAGGGTAAAGAGTGGGAGAGAGGTGAATTGTATATGTATATCGGTTAAATAATTGTATATTATACATATGTATTTGTATATATGGCAAGCGAGATTGGGAGAGGCGAGCAAAAGAGGGCAGAGAGTGGGAGAGAGGTGAATTGTATATGTATATCGTTTAGATAATTGTATATTATACAAATGCATTTGTATATATGGCAAGCGAGATTGGGAGAGGGAGGAGAGAGGCGAGCGAGAGAGGGCAGAGAGTGGGAGAAAGGTGAATTGTATATGTATATCGGTTAGATAATTGTATATTATACATATGTATTTGTATATTTTGGCGAATTATACAAATACAAACGTGGCTAATTATACAAACTCAAAGTCAGCCCACGTAATTAATGTATAATTAGTCGCGAGTGGTAATTATAGCAAACTATAGTTCTGATGAGTAATTAAGTAGTATAAGTTTGCTTAACCGCGTAATTTTCCCAGAACTTTAATATAGTCCAATCATATCATATAATTAATCATAGTGCTAAAAATATTATTATATGTAGAAAACTCTCACTGATCTTACAGTTCCTCGTAGTTCACCAATATAGGAAACAAAGAATAGCAAAGTCAATTTTTTTTTAAAGATATACTCACAGTTAGGTTAGAAAATGATTCTTCCTATAAATAAAAATGTTTGAACTTCAGTTGTTCAACTACAATCCACAAAAAAAAATTAGATTTTTTCCACCCAAAGTAATAAAAATACAGGTGATACATATATATTCAAGACATATCTTAGTAAATAATAATGTAATAGCCCTTCTATTTTAAAGGAAATAATGATGAGGGTTTATAAAGATAAAGTCAAATTCATCAAAAGCTTCTTCATTTAATTTTTTTATATATAATATATGTTGAACTCGTTGATAAAAATCTTGCATATTCACTACTCATTATATATGTTAGGCATCAAAGGGACCTAACTTAGATTTTTATCCAATATGTACTCGATAGAACAAAGAGATCGACCAAACTTAGATAGAGAACAATATTATTGCCCTTCTTTTTAAAGTAGGTTCATAAATATCCTATGATTTTGTGGAGGAGCTTAGTTAGTGCTAATGTCACTTTCCTTAATTGGAAGATGCAAAGTTAATTACCTGTAGAACCAAACTTTACGATTGAGCTAAAAAATCTCTCCAAACAGTTAAATCTAAAACAATATTAGGGATGAATACAGAGATTAATATTTTAGATTAATTAATGCGATATTGACAAGACAGTCAAATTAATTGTGCTCGTCAATTAAAATGGAAGAAATGCTTAACTAATTTTTCACTAAATAAGTCATTTTCTAATGTTTGATCGCTATATAATATTCTTCACGAAAAAAACATTTCTTTTCAAACTGGACAAAAATAACTTCATTCACTTCTATGGTGCAGTGCTGGAACTGCTTCCTCCTTAATCAGAGATCTCGAATTTGAGTAAACTCTATAATACCCAATCAAAATTTAGTTAGAGCTCCAATATGGACTCTAGACATCGGGCGAAAGCAAAAAATAATAATAACTTCATTCACTTTTGAGCTAAAGTCGTTTATATATATTTACAATTGTCTCAACTCTTTAACTTTTATAAGTAGATTAGTGCTCTAAACCTCTAACAAACACTATTATTAATTTACAATCAATTTTTTCGTGCCAAAAATTTCATAAAAGAAACTATATTATTGGCTAACATTACATAGATGGATTTAAAATTAAAAGTGTATGGATTATTCTAACCCCTTGACATTACTAGGTTTTAAATTTGTAATTTATACATTATAAAAATATTTTTTTAAGACAAATACAAGGTTAACGACATAATTCTACCGAATTCGCATCATAAACGACAAGTTTTTCCTATTTACTATTATTATCATTATCATCAATTTTTAATAAAGATTTTTTTATGATAATGTAACTTTTACTCTCCAAATTTCAGGAAAATAAATTTTTAATAAAAAAAATCTAATAGTGTTGTACGAAACTGAAAAATAAAGGGAGGTTCTAGAGAAAGAAAAAATAATTGGAGCCTCCAAAGTCGACAATCTGTTTGTCATTGTGTGTTTGTGTCGATAATTTCCACGTCTCCGCAGTGCGCATCTTTGTCACAATGATCCACTCGAGGCAACTATTTGTACACTTTCAACTTTATATATTTTTTTAAAAAGTAATCATTAATATAAATATTTTAATATATTAATTAATTTAAAAGCCTTAGATATTTTGTGAAATAATTTGAGTAATAAATGAATGTTAAGAATAATTGTTTTTTATATGAAAAATGATAAGTAAAAATAAAAATATATTTTAAAATAGTAAATAAGTAAAAGTGAACAGAGGGAGTACGTCAGAATATATACTCCATCCTGTCACCGTTTCAATAATATGTTAGGTTTTAAATTTAGAGAGTTAAATGGACTCTTAAATATTTTAAATATAATTATCATGATTTTTAGTATTTTTATGAATATTTTAAATATGTAAATATTATTTTTTAAAATTTAAAAATTTCATATTAAAATTCTCGATTAAACTTTCGAATTTGGAATTGTGTTCATGCATATCAAAATTGGGACTAGGTGTGGACCATGCCAAATGAACACAATATATATCTTCCACGTAAATTTACTTGTGTACTACTTTTCCAAAGTGCTTCATCACCCATCTATATCATCGGACTTTCTTATATAAAATTCAGATAATTATTCTTTTTAAATTGTGATAATAGATACTCTTATTTAAGGAACTAAGGTTCCATACGTCTTCCTCCTGGACCGCCTAAATAAACTAACAATCCTATCCGGCCGGTTAGAGTCATCGAAAATTGAACTGAGTTTTTCAAATTTTGTTCCATGTTCATTTTCTATATTAGAGTTCGATTATATTTATATTTGTGTTATGGTTGCATTATTTCTTATACATTGTTTGGTTTGATGTTTTGGAAATAGCAAATCTTGTATAAAGTCTATTAAAAAAATATTTATTTACAAAAATATCCCCACATTCTTTTATTTTGTGCACTTTCTTTTGCAACATGGTTCTTTAATAAAACAATCACAATAAAATTCTTTGCTAAACGTCATTAGTTCTTCTTTTCCCCCAAAAAATAAAATAAATAGTTTTTAGTACTACTTTAAAATATTTTTGAGAAAAATTGGCAAAGAGGTTTATTTAAAACTCAAACTTTTATTGTTATTTTTGTGTGTGCACCACATATTGACATTGAAAGGATCCAGAGAAGCACTTGAGTAATGATAAAGTTCTCTATGATATCTATAAATTACGAACTCGAGTCACAAAACCAATAACTTATTATAATAATTTTACTCATCACACTCTATGATTGGAAGTATGTCAAAAGTGTAATAAAAATAAATTGAAACTCATAATTACACTTCAAGATAATCATTTAACGTTGATAATTTAAGTCATTTGAATACCTCATCGTTTAACCCTCACCTTGCCTCAAAGTCAATCACCAGCAAACTAGTTATTTCAAGTTCTCAATATTCATTTTTGATCAACTCGTTCCCTAGGAGCAATAATAATAATAATAACAATAATAATAATAATAATAATAATAATAATAATAGTTATTATTAGAAGCAGTTGCTCTATTGTATTGTGCCCCTTTATAACCCCTTTTGTCAATTGTGTTTTGACTTTGAAATACACAGGGAGCTGCAACATTTTTAAATTTTTCAAAAATATTTTATTAAAAAAGATAATCTCTGTATCAAAAATCTTAACAAATGCAATAATCTATAGGCTTTTTACTGCAATTTGCAAAGCTTACGTTTTGAGAATAGCATTAGTTTACCGTGGAAAAGTATTGAAAAATGTTTCAATAAAGGCTTAGAAGGTAGTTTTGTTATTAGTTAATCTAATGCAAGTGTTAAATTTTTTTTGTATTATTAATACCTAAAGATCCATGGTATTAGTAATACACTCCATA